AAAGCAGAAAATGTTAAAAAGATTACAAATTTAATGGATCATAAGGAAGATCAAATGATAAAGGTGTTAAATTTTAACCTAACTGTCTGTAACATTCCACTTTCCAGTGCATTCTGCATGTTAGCATGGCTAGGGGTTTAATTCACATGTACTGTGTTTCCCTTCACTTTAAAATAATTTTTAACAGAAGCAGCTTTAAAAGAGGTTTAAGGGGAGATCAAATGATGAGATACCACATTTTGACCCAACTGCATCTGCCACAATCATCTCTACAATATTTCTATCACATCCCTCAACTATGGTCAAGGGGATTCATCAGAGGCTTAATCCAGGTGTGGGCCTGCAAATGGATTATGGGTTTCCATTGTCATCCATTACCTTCTGTAAGCCAGGTGTTGGTAATTTAAGCTCTGGTGCCATTCCTTCCTTTAGATTTGGATTATATTATTTATAATCCTTGGGTCACAGTGTGCTTCTTCCATGTGGACTTAGTTGACCTCACTTAGATGGCTGCTTGCTTTTTTTTTATGGCTGCTTGCTTGAAAGCCAGCCTTTAAGACCTCAGACATGATTCTTTCTGCTAGCTGGACAGCATTTCGTTTCTTCACCACAATTTGCTATGGCTCCCACAGGGCCATGTCATAAGAACTAATTGTTCTTAGATTTGGGCCAGAATTAAGTGCAAGCCCCAAATTAATTCATTCTTCTATGGTTTATATATGTGTCTGGTTCACCTTAGAGACATCATTGTCGTTTTAGAGGGCCGTATCAATCATCCCCCTGGGGCATCCCTTCCACTGCCGCCAAGTAGTACTGCCCTGTGAGTCTCCACGTCTGCAAGTCTTCGCAGGAGTAGAAAGCCTTCTCCTTTGGAGCTTGCTGGGGGTTTGGGACTGCTGACCTTGTGGTTAGCAGTCCAGTGTGTAATCACTGTGTACTGATAGTGTCATTAGTTTAACTAAGAGAATACAAAGTACACATTTTACCAAATTAATCGGTTGCTTCCTTAAATATGTTTTTCCTTTTAATTTTAGCAAGTATACTGTATTGTCATTTTAGATCAGTACTGTCCAATAAAAGTATAATAATAAATGTTCCAGTGAACATTAAAAAGCTAAACAAAGCAGGCAAAATGGATTTTATGATATATTGTATTTACTGCTACATATAAAACACTCAATTTAAGAATTAAGGTATTTTAAAGTTTTTTTTTCTGTTCTAGGTTTAAAATCCGGCATATATGTTACATTTAGGCACATCTTTATTTGCAGTTGCTATATTTCAAGTCTTTAGGATCCATTTGTGGCTAGTGGCTTGGTCCTTGAAGATCTAAATAATTACTGCTTGAGGACATTTTTCATTCCTCTGGGGCATCCAACAGAACGTTGTGAAATTTATAAGTACAGGCAATTATGTCTGTAAACCTTTACGTGGAATATGTAGGAGAATTCAGTTCTTATTCAGCCTTACATAGTGCAAGAAAAGGCTGAAGGCTATGTAAAATCTGCAAGAGGAACAGGTGAAGGTGATTATGATGAAGATATGTATGTATGTATATATATATGTATTTCTTTGAAAGTATCAATTTCTTTTTTTTAATGTCATTGTGATGAATTTGTTGATTGTTTCAGTTATTGCAAACTGAGAGCAAATTTACATAGCATTACAGGCAAATATAGGAGTTCTCTTTGAGTCAAACAGTGGAATATTTATAACTATACCCCTTGATTTTGGTCTCTATATCTGCTTCATCCCAGTTCCATTGGTTTTTAGCTTTCTACCGGTCATGTCTGTTCTTTCTGTCTCTGCTCCAATGTTCTTGCTGTTTCTGCTTCAGTGGCCTTCAGTGTCTCTGCTTCAGTGTTCTGTCTCTGCTTCAATGTCTTCTCTCAGTTGAAGTACTGCAGTTGCCTCTTACATGATCTACTCCCGTCCACTCTTGCCCCCTAACCCTTCTCTGCCCTGTAGTCACGGTCATCTTCTCAACATGCCAGTCTGATCATACCACCCACTGGATTAAAACACCTCGGGGCCTTGTGATGATAAAGGCCAATCATCCTGATTTACCTGAGCCTGGGTCTACGAATCTTTCCTGTCTCTCTGCCCTGGCCTTCTTTTGCTCACTGTCAGCACAGAGCCTGCACACAACCTAGCTATAACCCTACTCACCCCTCAGTTCTCACATCAAAGAAGACTTTTCCAGAAGAGCTTTTCTTGCCTTGCTCTTGGGCTTCCAAGCACTCTGGACTTCCCTGCTGGCCTTTGGGAAGTGGCGGTTTTACAATTTGTGTTGTGCTGCACGTCCCAGCGATATACTCAGTGGCTGCTTTAGGTGCTTGAGATACAGAAAAGAATAGAACAAAATTCCTGACCTCGGGGTTCCTGCATTTGAGTGAGGTGAGCTGGTAAATAAGTGTTGTGGGATAAATAAATAAAGTGGCGTGAGGGGGAGAGGGGAGTGGCAACTGCAGTTTTAAACAGGACAGGGGCTTCCCTGAGAAGATGGTACCTCGGCAAAGACCTGAACGAAGCCCTGTGGGTTTGTGGGGGAGAGAGTTCCAGGGGGAGGAAGGGCAGAGGCCTGAGAGCGAGGGGAGGAGATTTAGGAGAAGGTGAGGAGAATACTGAGGGCACCTTGGGCACCACTAACTGGAAGAGGAGGGGACTCATTGCATTCTCTCACTCGGTTTCCGAAGCTCTTTCTGGCTGCTGACCCGGGGGTGTGGGGAAAGTGAGCAGGCTGCGGGAGGGAGATGCAGGGGCCACTTTGCACTACCAAAGACTTCATCAGGAGACCAAGTGAGAAATGAAGGTAGCCAAGGTCAGGGCTGGAATGGAAGAGATGATGAGAGATTGTCAGACCCTGTGTGTTAGGCTGTGTTTTCTAGGGAAACAAAACCAGTAACTCTCATACATATCTAAGAAATAACTTTATTATATCAAGAAAGAGCTTTATATCAAAAAAACATCCCAGCCCAGTCCAACTCAAGCCTTTGGGTCCGATGCTGACCGGAGTCCTCTTCAGACTTGCACAGCTCCCGGTGGATGAAGCAAGGAGGCAGAGCGGGAAGCTGGGAGATGACAGGCCAGTGGTGCAGGGTCACATGGATCCAAGGTCCACGGGAACATGGCTGGGCTTTGGCAGCCCACAGGGATGCAGCCAAGCAGGAAGGCCAAGAGGGGCAAGAGAAGAGAAGCTACGAGTGTCTCAGCTATAAAAGGCCCACCCCCAAGGAGGCTTTATGAGGCTGTGACCTGATTGATAGGTGGGACTCCACCTCTGCCTCCACACAGGTACCATCAGGTTGACATAAAGTCTGACCAATATACACACCTGCTGAGGCAACCAGTGACGATGCCGACATTTTTCAACCGATGCCTGCAGTGTGTGTTTGGACATG